ATGCTAGTCTCTCATTTTTGAGGAGTGGTAAAAATCCTAATTAGGCGGGAGAGGTTAATTGTTGGTATTCACTTGTAATATTTGAACCGTTATTGAGAAAGTGAATAGTAAAACATATTTAACCAATTCTCTATTCTTTTTCCTTCTTCTCTTTTCCTTTGTGAAACCTAATAAGATTTCATTTGTTTGTTCAAGAAACTCAATCTTTTTCTTATAACTTTGTTCTGTTATTAACCACATAAATTCACAACAAATTTCTACATCAAAGAGAGTGCAAACATAGTTGTGTTGTTCAATCCTTCAGTTTTAAGTAAATCTAAGGCACCCTAAGAAACAATTGTGTTATTATTCTATAATAATGAGGTACATCATCAAGATGAGCTTATTATAAGGGTAAAGTTTCTCATAGTTAGCTATACTTATTTTAATGATGTCAAAACTTACATAAGTAGAAAAATATACTTTGGACAGTATCATTGTGTCGCATATGCATACCTTATTCCTCTTGCGTCAAACATCAGTCAAAAACATGATTAGATACATATAGAAAAAGTACAATATATGCTCCATATAGGTTTGACCATGTTGGTCTAACTTACAATATGGTGAAGCATCTCAAAAGTAGCTAAATACATGAAAATATGCATTTTTCCATATTCTGCGTCTTTGAGTCGACTCAAAGAATGTTCCAGTTGACTCATACAAAAGTTATTTTGCATGGTATACTCTCAGCAGTGCTCATGTCGACCCTCCGGTCGACTCATACTGTGTTCATTTTTATCTGTCTAAATTTGTATCCTTTGCGTCGACACATGACCTATTCCGGTCGATGCAAAGTGTTGTTTTATGTACAATCTGAAATTAGGGAGAGCTAAGGTCGACCCTTCCCTTTATATAGGTCGTCTGCTCGCACGTTTTCACCAAAAGTCTGTTATGTGAAACTGTCAAATGTTTGTTAAGTTGATTAATTGTATTTTTACTTGTATATATATTGAGTTGGCTTTTTCTTCACAAAACAACAAGAAAAGTGAAAATTGACACTAATTTTGTTCTCATCATCTTCATCCTCTTTCTTGCATTTTCTCAACAACTACACACAATCATTTTTGTTGTGCATTCTGCATTATTAAGGTGATAACGTCCAAACATAGGATTGGTGTAATCAGATTTTGGTTAAGAAATCAGTGGGTTTTTCTTGAATAAAACCGTTAGGGTTTTGTCCTCAAAGAATCTTGGATTTTGGGTTTTTTTTGCACAAATTGGTCCATCACAGATTCAGCCGAGCGGAGGTAATCGAAGAACGGGAGGTTCTGTCGGTTTAGTAGCGGTAACCGGAGGATTCTGAGAGGAAGATTCAGGTTCAAAACGTTGGTAATTAAAATCAACCGGGAAAGATTTAAAGACCGTAGGGTTGTTCAAAGGGTGTGCCGTAATTAGAGGTTTATTCATCGTGTTCGAAGGACTTGATTCAGCTTGAATAAAGGGAAGAGAAGGAATAGGCTCTGCATCAACAATTGGGTTTGATTATTTGAATTCTATTGCTTCTCTTGCAAACAAGTTATATATATATACAGGTCTCAATTCTATTTTTAGAATTGAGGGAAGACGTACCCCGAGCGAGGACGACAGGGGAACTGCCTCAACAAATTGATGTTCTCTCGTTATTTTTTAATTGCTTAAATTTTGAGTTTGTGCGCAAACAATTTAGTTGATCAAAATTCTGATGTGTGTAGTGCTGAACCATTTTTAGAAACCTTATTACAATCCTTGATTGTAATTGAATACTACAGCACTTCACTCACATATTGAAATTCATTTGTGGTGCCTTGCACACCAAGTGTTCGACTGATTGTGTGAACACAAACACTCGTGCTGTCTTTTCAATTGGGTTATACTTTTCACGCATTGGAAACAATCCAACCTTACAGTGAATAAAATCTAGTTGATGTGTGTTCAAATTAGTGATTCTATAATCTCTTTTTTTATCAGATTCCACAGGCTTTGCGTATATCCGGTCTTTCCGGTAAATGTTCGTTTTAGACGAATATAGTTTCTTGGCCGCTTCCGCCTAAAAACTTTTTAAAACTAAATATTGGTAAACACCGACTCTGTTTTTAACAAGTGATCTATTCAACCCCCTTCTAGATCTGCGTCATCGTCTAACACTTATGAATTACAACTTTTACATTATTAAACTAAAACATATTTATTTCTTTAATTAGGTAGAAATCAAATAAAAACTTAAAATTACCATCATCTAAAATTGAAAAATGACACCAATCGTTAGTTGGTCTAATGATTATTAGGCTAAATTTGATAGCGAGCACCACGATTCGATCCCTCACAACTGTGATCAGGAGGGAACCGAAACCACTTGATTTTAAGGGGACCGAAACCACTTGATTTTAAAATTGACCCCTAAACTAGATTAGACGATCCAGTAGACCAGATATCATTAATTTTTAAATTAATAATATGATATGGCTGAGTGATAAATTTCTATTGGACGACATTGTAAAACTATTTTACACTTAATTTATAATACGTATATTAATACTATAAAATAATAAATATTTACAAATATGATAAAATAAAAATTATGATAAAATAAAAATGATTAAACTAAGAACTTCTGTTATTCTAAATCATTTAGAATCTATTTGGTGTCTATTTGGTGTGCAAGATAAGAGACATAATATGATATTTTATCTTAATTCAGTGTTTGATGACACAATATAGTTTGATAAGTTAATCTGAAAATTTATCCTATCCTGTCTCACTAGTTGAAATTTTTATCCTGAGTATGAACTGAGTTAAATTTCAGCAGGATAAGATAAAAAATAATTTACTAATTTATTCTGTTAAATATAATTTAAAAAAAATTAAATATGATAAAATATAAATAAAGATTAATTTGATATTAAATTAAAAATGTTAATCAATAATTTTTTAAAAAAATATGTATAACTTTGTCATAAGGATAATTTTTCAACTTTAAATAATATAAAAAATTAAAATCTAAGAAATTGAAAATTTTAAAATAACTATTAAAAATTTAAAAATATGAACAATACTTTTTTTTTTATGAAATTAATTATATTTTTTTGCATAGTGGTTTTATCATTTACTTATTATATATACCTACTTTTATTTTGCTTATCTAATATATATATATATATATATATATATATATATATATATATATATATATATATATATATATATATATATATATATATATATATATATATATATATATATATATATATATATATATATATATATATATATATATATATATATATATAAAACAGAATTCATAATTTTTTCAAGAAAAATTAAAATTGTTTATTCAACAATGTCAATGAATTTTATATTTAAAAATTATATAAAATTATTAATTGTTTTTATCGATTTATAAATTTTAAAACATTTTACAAAATAATTTAGAAAAATATAGTTGTATTATAAGGGTAAATTTGTCATATATATATATATATATATATATATATATATATATATATATATATATATATATATATATATATATATATATATATATATATATATATATATATATATATATATATATATATATATATATATATATATATATATATATATATATATATATATATATATATATATATATATATATATATATATATAATTGAAGATCAATGTATTCTAAAAGTAAATTTTTTAAAACTTAATCCAAATTATATTCTTTAAATTTAATTTAATCGAATGATTAATTAAGTAAAATATAAATTTAACTCTTAAATTATATTCAATTTAAAAATTATGACTTAGAATAAATTAAAAAATTTACCGTTAATTTTCACTCTATTTAAATATAAAATATTATTATATTTGATATTTTGTGTGAATTAATCTCATGATTGAATAACTTTTATTCTTTTTGTGTCATATCATATTTTTATTCTAATTTATATTCTATCATATTTATATCGTATCCTATGAATCAAATCAAATAAATCTTTATATTTAAATTACAGAATTGATAGATAAAGAATTGAAACTAATATGTCAATATATAAAAAAAAACCATTACAAAATATAAAATCAAACAACACCACACCAAAACTAATTAAAACAACATTGCACTCTAACCATAATTTTTGCATTTCTAAAAATTAAAATTCATGCGACATTTTTTATAAGAAACAGTTGTGCTATTTTCCACTAATTATGAAGTATCTTAATTGAGTTTGAGGTTATGTGCATGCAACGTCTCAACCAAATAAACCAAGAGTGGGCCCACCCAAATCCTGATAGCCTCATTTATTGGTTCCTTAACTTTGCATATATCTTGTTACATAACATGAATGGCTAAACAAAGATAACGTAAATTGACTAGGGATAAATTTTAAAAGATACTTCTAATAAATATATTTTGTAATTTTCTCGTTAATTCAACTCAGATGATTGTTATACAAAAATATTATATGTATAAAAATACTAGTAATAAATTTATTTTGTAATTAATCTGCTAAATCAATTTAATAATTATTGAGACGTATCTCCGACCTCTCGTCAAAATCATATAATTTTATAATATTAGCTCAAAATTTTAACTGTTGGATCTTATTGGTTGATAGCTTAGAATCACACAATCCAAATTCCAAAAAAAGAAATTCACAAAGGGGCTTAATATATAGTATCAACTAAACTTATGCAATTAATGCAAGTACTAAGTAACAAACTATCCTAAGCTTCTTTTGAGAATCTGAAGCTTATTCTGATAAGTGATTATCACCAAACAAAACCTGCAAAGGTAGATCATTGTACTTGTACTTTGGTTTTTTCAGCTTCTTGGTTTAGTCATTATACTTGTACTTGGGTATTTTGAGGTTTACAACAGTCTTGCACACCAACTGCTTGTGCCAGGTTCCAACCAGTTTCATAGTTTCAACAACACAGTAATTTTTTCTTTGGTTCTTATCCTTTTTTGTTTCTTTTCCCTTCTTCAGGTTTCCATGGCTGCATTTGCACTATGTTACAGAGTCCCTTACAAGAACACATGCATAGTTCTTGGAAGAGATTCTTTGCACAAAAGCGCGACGAAACTACGTGTTCAGTGTTCATTGGAGTCTAGTTCTGTTAAGAAGAAACTAAGATCATTAGATTCTTATTTTGGAAAACTGCAACATGATACAAAGTTACATGATTCTGATACATTTAATGAGGTGACGAAGGTGCACCAAGGAAATGGATTGGAGCCTCTTGATGAGTATCTTGGCAAACTAAATAATGGTAAAGTATTTACTTTTTTGTATTGTATTTCCATTAAAGTAAGTAAACTATTGTTTGCTTTTAGTTTCTGAAAAAATATATTTTATGGTTTTAGTTCTTGTAGGCTCCATATCACCCACTCCTTTGAAAAAATGCGTGTTCTTGTTCATGTCATTGTACACCGATACTTGTGATTACATTCAATTTATTTACGTTTTTAAATTATTACCGGTGTCAGTGTGTCACTGTCGGTATCATGTCCGGTGTCTCTTTGTCTGTGCTTTATAGCTTGTAGGTATACAATTATTTGTTTTAGCATGTGCAGAATTTATTATTGGAAGTGATCCTTTTAATGTGAAGAATATTTTATTGTAGCTGTGTTTAATTACATTCACTGGATGGTTAATATGCTGGGACACCTTGTTATATTCCGTTAAACGCAGTCAACCACATATTTGAACTGCGTTAATCATCTAAACTATTGGCCAATTTGTGTGTAAAAGTATCATATTTGTAAGTAGAATATATCATATGAATACTTTAGAGAGGCCCAGTGTAAGAAGTTTAAGTTAATTTTAGTTGAGTAGTGAAATTTTTTTTTAAGAAGCCCTATTTTACCGTAAATTAACAGTAGAATGTGTATGGAGATCTTTTTTGCCATAACTTAATCTTGAAAAAGTGTGAGGCTTTGTGTGCTGTAGGCCGCCTTACACACCCTCAAAGACGGCCTTGAATACATCCACAACCTTTCATGTTATCATGAGAGCTTATTACAAATTTCCCTGTATTGTAATATTTTTCTTAATGCATGATGAAAATATGATGAATATGACATATTTTTTGTATGCAGGCATAAACCAAGAACCTCTCGGGGCATCTTATGTTGAAAATCTTAAGGATGAAATTTTAGCTCCAAAACAAAATCTCAGCCAAGATACTCAAAGAACAAACTTTAGGAAACCAAATACTTATGTGAATTTAAGAAGAACAAAAGGTGTCAGTGGTTCAGTATCTGCTATAGATTCACAGCAGCTTAATGATACCTCAAGCCTTTACCTCATGTAAGTCCTGATCTTTCATAGTTCTTGCCAATACATTGCTTAAATTGTAAGCATCAACCAAATTAGTCTCGCATTTTTTATATTGACAAATATATGTCTGAAATTGTAGAATGTCATTCAAAATGGTCCCTTTGTTATTGTCTACTGTACGAGGCTATGCTGCTATGATGTGACATGATGTGACATGTTATCAGGACTAATTTGTCTATGAAATTAAGTCATCTCTCAATGACAAATTTGTTGGTAATTGCAATTTTGCATGAACTAATAGAAGCAAATTACTCCATCAGAGACCTAAATTTCATAGGAAAATTTGTCCATTCTGTGATGACATCCATGCGAGAACAACATGGAGAAGCCGTATTTCGCTTATCATAGCCCCCAACAGTAAAATAAAAGTGAATAGTTTGACTCACTTTACAATTTTAAAGATGTCACAAAATTCAGAGACTATTTTGACAGATGATTCCAGTTTTGAGGACCAATTTGCCCATCACCCAACTTTTATGCTTAACTTTAATATGTCTTATCTTTGGTGCAGTGGTATATTAGCATCAGTGAACATTGCGGTGTTTCTATTTGAAATAGCAAGTCCTGTAAAGAGTAATGACTTAGAGCTGTTTTCACTTCCATTACTATATGGAGCAAAGATAAATGATTTGATCATGGTTGGAGAATGGTGGAGGCTTATAACACCAATGTTTCTGGTACAAGCTTGAATATTGGGTCCGTGTTTCCATTCTACAGATATAGAGTGCACTATATACATGACCCTAGTCATCATCTAGGACAATCACATCATTTAATTCTGATATTTTATTTTAATTTTTTTTCTCTATTCAATAAGAACTTAGATAAGATTAGTATTTATGTTTAAAACTAGAGGGAATGGATCTATCTCCTTTGGTCTGGTTTTTAAAACATTTATGGTGCATACTCTTGATGGGAAATCTATGAACTTTTGAGCATCCTCATGTGCATACTTGTTAACAAGTTCTTCAAATGCAGCATGCAGGAATATTTCACTTGGGTCTAAGTTGTTGGGCCCTTGTATCATTTGGGCCTCAAGTTTGCAAAAGCTATGGTTCACTTACATTTTTCTTGATCTACATATTGGGTGGAGTTTCTGGAAACATCGCAAGTTTTCTACATACACCAGATCCAACTGTTGGCGGGACTGTAAGTATCATTCTACAAGAATATATTTCATTAGTTATTTGTGTAATAAGAATATATTTTCTTGTCTTAGACTTTCGATGTCTAACATGAAGTTGCATTCAGGGACCTGTATTTGCAATAATTGGTGCTTGGCTCATTTACCAATTTCAAAATAGAGATGTTATTGCAAATGGTGATTCTGAGAATCTATTCAAGAAGGCAATAATTATTACAACTCTTGGTTTCATATTATGCAACCTTGGTCCAGTTGATGAGTGGTATGTATGACTTATAAATGCATCCAAAAAATGTTCATCAAATTTAAAAATCAAAATCTTTATATGGTGGCCGACTCATTTACAGGTCTCACTCAGGCGCAACTTTCACAGGCATGGTATATGGTTTTCTGACTAGTTCAACTCTTCAGCTTGATAATACATTGCCACAAACCGGTGAAGAAGGACTCAAACTAGTTAAAAAATACGGTGGTTCTTTCAAATCACTAATTATATTCACTATATCCATTGGTGTTTTAACATCGCTACTTTTGTTTATGGATCCCCCTCTAGATGCATTGGCATCTGTTGATGAAGCAGCTGTTGTTGCCTTAGAATATATGTCAATTTTTTGTTGACGGTCATGAGAGAATCTGTTACTTATCACTAAGATTAGGGTTACAATTTACATATATATGATTGTACAAGCTCAGTCCTTGGCCTTAAATGTAATACAAGCACTACTGTTTTTAATGATCTTTCTAAAGTTAGAGAGTATATAATATACATACACATTATTAATTAGTAGTTTACTACATATGATTTCAAAACATAATTCAACATAAATTAGAAGATTTGTCTTATTTCATTTGTCATGATACACATTTTTTGACAGAGCAACTAAACGTTTCTAAAAGTTTGCTTCACTAGTAACACCTTCCTTCTATTAACGTTAAAGATTCATATAGAAAGAGAGACGACAAAGTGGTTAGGGTTTCATTAGAAATGAAAAAAGTATCACAATAGAAAGGTTCATATAAAATATGGAAAGACTAAACTACCTTTAATATAATTTATTATGTAACATTCCCCTTCAAACTCACAATGCATTAGCAAGAAGCATATAAAGTTTGTCAATTAAGAAATGAAAACGTCCCATAGAATATGTTTTCATGAACAAGTCAGCAATCTGTAAGGACGAAGAAACAAATGGTAAACTAATAGTTTTATAATGAAGATGATGGAAGGTGAGATGACAATCAATTTGAATGTGTTTGGTGCGTTCACAAAAGACCGAGTTATGAGCAATTTAAATTACACTCTTGTTATGAAAATACCTAGGAGTGAGTTTAGAGAGAGAAACACCCATATTAGAAAGATGACAATGTAACCGCACTATCTCTATGAATTGTAGTGATAGTTGCCATTGCCCGCATGATAACTTATGTAATTAATAACAAAACATTGACTTCATTCTTAGATAATGTGTGTTTGGTATACAATAGAACAACCATGATTAGGCCTGCAATTTAAAGTTTTGAAAAAGATTGTTGAAATTAGAGTTTTTGAAAAAGTATGTTGAAATTAGAGTTTGAGCGTGAGGCCGAGTTAGAAACACTCCCTTTAATGACAAATATATTTAAGGATCAAAATAACTGTGAGATCATTTGATTGAACTCTAATTCTGTCGATTGGGATGTTATCGACAGGGATAGCTTTCAGGTTTCGATAGGGGACAAACATGAAGTTGAAGATGGTTCACATGCTGATGTCTAATTGTTACATATTACAGTCGAAGTCAATTCTAATATGTATTGTCAAAATTGTAATGTCGAATTGGGCCTTGTGTTAAAGATACAATTGTTTAGTTAACTTGTAATGTAAGTTAGCTATTTAGTCTATAAATATGCTAGATCTCTCACGTTGTTGAGATAGGACAATTGTGTTATTCATTTGTAATCATTTGTAAACCCTAAATGAGAAAGTGAATAGAAAACAGTTTTCCAAAATTCTATTCTCATTCTTTCTTCTTTATCCATTCCTCTCTCTCTCTCTCTCTCTCTCTCTCTCTCTCTCTCTCTCTCTCTCTCTCTCTCTCTCTCTCTCTCTCTCTCTCTCTCTCTCTCTCTCTGTTCTAACCGTTTCAATGTTCACCCAAGAAACTTCGTTTTCTCAATCAAGAAATTGTTAATTGATATCGTTTGTGTCACAACAAACTGGTGTGGTGAGCGCGGAGGAGAAGATGCCGTCAACAAAGTATGAGATTGAGAAATTCATCGGTGTGAATGACTTTGGTATGTGGCGCTTGAAGATGCAAACCTTTCTTGTTCAACAGAGTTTGTTAGAAGTGTTGAAAGGATCAGAGATGATGAAAGCTAGTTTGTTCCCTTGTTTATGTAAAGTTTGTTCCAAGGTGGAGACTTGTGGTATTTTAGATCAAACTCTAGTGTCAACAAGGATAGCTTGATATTTCGATAGAAGTTGTACATGTTGTAGTCGAAGTCTGTTCAAGCATGCTGTCAAAATATATTAACTTGTAATTTAAGTTAGTATGTCGAATTAAGTCTTGCTTGTAAGCTCAATTGTTTAAGTTAGCTTGTGTAATGGCCTGCGTGTAAAAACCTATTAAGTCAGTATGTTAGTTTTCTTATAAATAGTATGATAGTCTATCATCTTTGTAAGGGTGGTCCAAATCCTAATTAGGGTGAAAGAAGTTAATTGTTGGTATTCACTTGTAATCTTTGAACCCCTATTGAGAAAGTGAATAGTAAAAAAAATTTAACCAACTTTCTATTCTTCTTCCTTATTCTCTTTTCCTTTGTAAAATCTAATAGGGTTTCTTGAGTTTGTTTAAGAAACTCAATCTTTATATCATAAATTTATTCTGTTATTGACGAAATCGTTTCACAACAAACTGGTGCAGTGAGCATGGAGGAAGGTGTCGTCAACAAAGTTTGAAATTGAGATGTTAACCAGAGTTAATGATTTTGGTTTATGGCGCTTGAAGATGCGAGCCCATCTTGTTCAACAGGGTTTGCTAGAAGCGTTAAAGGGAGATGACATGGATGCTGCATTGACGGAGAAGGATAAGAAAACGATGATCAAGAAAGTCCACAGTGCAATTGTTCTGAGTCTTGGTGATAAGGTTCTCAGGCAGGTTTCGAAGGAGACAACGACAACTGGTGTTTGGATGAAACTCGAAGGATTGTATATGACAAAGTCCTTGGTGTATCGTTTGTACTTGAAACAAGCTTTGTATTCATTCAAGATGAATGAATATAAAGCATTGACAGAGCAGTTGGATACGTTCAACAAGATAATTCTTGATCTTGAAAATATTGATGTTACCATCAATGAGGAAGATCACGTGTTGTTATTGTTGTGTTCTTTACCTAAGTCACATGCTCACTTCAATGAAACCCTCTTGTATGAAAGATAGTATCTAACCTTTGAAGAAGTTCAAGCAGCCTTGTATTCGAAGGATTTGAACAAAAGAAAAGAGCAGAAACCATCATCATCAGTTGGCGAAGGGTTGTCAGTGAAGGGGAAATCCTTGAAGAGATATGGTAGGTTTAAGAAGAAGAAAGGTAAAACTCAACATTTGTCTTATGGTGGTGATATTTCTGGTATTAAGTGTTATCATTGTAAGAAGGAGGGTCACATAAGAAAGGTGTGTCCTAAGTGCCTAAATAACCATGTAGGTAAGGACGATGACAATGCAACTATTGTGTAAGATGATTATGGATCATCTGATTTCCCTATGGTGTCGAGGAGCAACTCTTGCAAATAATGGATTATGGATTTAGGATGTACTTGGCATATGACTCCAAACAAGAATGTGTTTGAAGAATTATGTGATCAAGATGGTGGATCAGTGCTGTTGGAAAATAATAAAGCTTGCAAGATTGCAGGTATTGGATCTCTGAGACTCAAGCTCCATGATGAGTCAATAAGGCTATTGAATGATGTTAGTTATGTACCCTAACTAAAGAGGAATTTGATTTCTCTTGGTGAATTCGACAAGAAAAGATATGTCTTAAAAAGAGATCAAGGTATCCTGAAAGTCATGAAGGGGTCGAAGGAAGTCTTGAGAGGTGTGAAGAAACAAGGCTTGTATATCCTTAAGGCCGAGGTTGTAAGTAGTTCAGTAGATTTTGCATCCACGAAATCTATGTGAAGACAAAATTATGGCACATGAGATTGAGCCATGTCAGCGAAAGAGGCCTGGTCGAACTGGGGAAACAAAACCTATTAGATGGTGACAAAGTTGAGAAGTTGGAGTTTTTTGAACCTTGTATATTTGGCAAATTCTGTAGGGTGGAGTTTAACAAAGGTAAACAAAGAACACATGAGTCCCTTGATTACATTCATGCTGATCTTTGGGGGCCTGCAAGGAATCCTTCACATTCAGGTGCAAGATATTTTCTATCCACAATTGATGACTATTCCAAAAAATTATGGGTATTCATTCAGAAGACTAAGGATGGAACTTTTGAGAATTTCAAAAGTTGGAAGGTTCTAGTCGAAACTCAAACTGGAAGAAAGGTTAAGAGGTTGAGAGTCGACAATGGCCATGGGTTCTGCAATGAAGCTTTCGATAATTACTGTGTCGGGTCTGGGATTACAAGGCATAAGACTGTAACAGGTAATCCTCAACAAAATGGCTTAGCTAAGAGATTCAATCGAACAATCCTTAAAAGGGTTAGATACATGTTGGTTAGTGCTGGATAGAAGAAAGTGTTTTGGGAAAAGGCTGTTTCGACAACAACTTATCTGATAAATAGATGTCCCTCGACTGCCTTGGGAATGAAGACACCTGAAAAAGTTTGGTCGGGTCAACCACCAGATCTCGACAAATTGAGAGTATTTGGCTGTTTAGCATATGCTCACATTAGGCAAGACAAGGTCGAACCTAGAGCTCTGAGATGCATGTTCCTTGGATATCCTAAGGGATTCAAAGGTTATAGGTTGTGGTTCCTAGAACCAGGTCACAGAAGATGTATCACAAGTCGCGATGTAGTTTTCAATGAAGTCGAGATGGCGTTCCAGAAAACTGACGATGCTGGTCGAAGTGCAGAAATCTCTGAAGAGGAGCTGGAATAGGTAGAGATTCTTGTTGATGTGGAGCATAGTGATGCTGAAGTGCATAACCTAGATGAAATCGAAGAACAAGAGCAAGATGCTGAAGAGAATGAGGAAAATATTAATGACTAACCACTGGCAAGAGATAAGTTGAGAATAGTCATCAAGCCACCTCAGAGACTTGGTTATGTAGATCTTATAGTGTTTGCCTTAATCTCTGCAAGTGAGGTACTTGAGGAAGAACCTAGATATTACAAGGAAGCTATGAGGAGTCGAAATAAGACTGAATGGAGAAAAACCATGGATGACAAGATGAAATATCTTTATGATAATAACACTTGGGAGCTGATTGAGAAACATGCAGAGGGAAGGTTAGTCAGTTGTAAGTGGATTTTCAAGGTCAAGGAAGGAATCAAAGGAGTGATGTCGAAGTGCTTTAAGGAAAGGTTGGTTGCTAGGGAGTTCATTCAGAAAGAAGGTGTAGACTTCAATGATGTGTTATGACCTGTTGTAAAGCATAAATCCACCAGAATTTAGTTAGCCATGGTGGCGAAGT